TGGGGGTGGATGTGGGGTGGGGCCAGGGGCAGTCGTTTCTGGGAGCTTGATGAGGTCCATATATGACATCCACAAGCCTACAGAAGTCTTAGACCAAAAGTGGTTGTTTGCAATCAGTGGGAGCGACATCAGCAAAGCCTGGCGTCGCTGGTGTCGTCCCTGACAGGCCTTTTTTTGTTCTTGGCAGAGTATAACAGGGAGCGAGCTAAGGGGGAGCTTTCGTTTCTTTTTCAAGTGGAGTGGGCCACAGGGCCTGCTTGAGGCAAGAGCTTGTGGCAGCAGAGCTTGTGGCTGCAGGATCATCAGGATGCTTCCTTCAGGGTGAATCGATCACGCCAAGACGCCACGACGCAAACACGGCCGGCTGACGCCGTCTGGCCCGGCCGCGGGTCACGCCGTCTGGCCCTCCGCCGGGGTTTGGGGACTGGGGGAATCCGCCACACGGTGGGAATTAGGCCGTATCCATTTTGGATACAGTACTTGTTTCACTGAACGCACAAACAACTAGACCCTCCAAAGCCTTCCCTCTTGCCATATTTCATGCTTTCCCAGCAGTTGTAGTCACTGGTTACGTACGTTCACCAAATCTATGGAGGGATCATAATGCTGTCGTTCCAGCAGGTTGAAGGTCTGTGCATGTGGACCATCAACATATTGGCTGCGTCGAAGCCTCACCTTCCAAGCCGAGGTGAACATCCCTCATAGGGGAACGTTCCAAGGTGCCATATTGGCTTGTCACCAACTCTACGGGGCGCGTTCACTTTCTGAAGCTTATCTTGGAGATGGGACATGAACATGTACTGTATAAGCATCGGCATGCTCTCCCACTGGGCTTTCGTTGAGTTTTGGGCATCTTTGGGTGTCTCCCTATTCTGAAAAAGGCGGTCCTTGGCCTTGAATGTGTGCACTGGACAGGCAGATCATACAGGTACACCCACTTCGTTTTCACAACACACCCACTTCCTGGTCACCTCTTCAGGGGTGTCGATTTGTTGGTGCTTTCTTTCGCTGGCCGCTCAAACTTTCTGTCTGCTTTTGACTCAAAGAGGTCGTCTCTGGGTTTGGGACATGGCAGTGTGATTTCTTGGCGCCCCATAGGCCCTTTACTAGCTGGCGCGACCCACGGAAGAAAACAAGCAGTAGCAAAGGGCCAAACCATGCATGCTCAAACCATTAAATGGATGACTATGGCTGAAGCATAAAACGCATGTCAAACATATACAGGTGTTCGGATTTTGTGTTCCAACTTTTACATCTGAGTCACATGCCTGTCAGCTCCAGTTTCTTCCACGATGTGTTGAACAGGTTGCAGAAGTCTGGACATATTTGTTCTCAAATCCCTCAAACAAGAGGAGTTGGTACAGCAACCTATTACTTGTGTTGGCACCCATGTTGGCTGCGCTTCATCTACTTGTTGCTGTAGAATTGACTTGATGCTGGGTATCCTACCTTCCCAGATCTCTACACATCCCTAGCATCCCGTGCCACCCACGTTCTGACACTTTGCCGCGCTCTCGGGATACCGCGAAATCGCGAACCCGACAGCAGGGTGCCCGAGCGGCTGGGAGGATGGGCCTGGGGGATTTGCATCTTGGAACATATTCCTACATCGTCAATGTTGTTGTTTTGCGGGTAGTTCTCTCCCTGAACTAATCATGTGGGAAACCACCTGCTTGTAGAGAAACATGGCCCTCCAATGAGCCTTTTCCACTTTCATGAGTATTCCAGATTATTTCAGGAAGTGTAGCTACGCGTTGACTTCTAGGCGGGTGACTTCCGGATCTTTGCGTTCTTTTTTGGGAACAGACAGGGGTTTCACTGGAACTGCAAGGGACGAAAACACAGAAACCCTGTGCTCCGAACGGAGGAGCATGCGGTTGATCGTCCGCTTCTCACAGGGTTTAACATGACATTGCCGCGTCCCTAATCATTGATCATCTGTATTATGTATGTGTCAAACATTCTCACATACCAGGAATTTCCATGGGTCTTGCTAGTTTTGCGCACCAACTTCACCATCCTTCCCTCATCTCCTTGTACCTCTTGCGCTTCACAAGAGGGTGAAAGGATCTGCCCTCTCTGAAATAATGATGGAAAGTGAATGGCATAGGCTCCTGGAAGACCATGTCTGAAGGTTTGGTCGCAGTGACCACCTTCTCATCTATCATTCGAGCACGACCGAGCTAGAATCGAAGGTGTGGGTTTTCAGCTATACCACGTGGTCCCACCGTGCCTGGGTCCCGCACCCGACTTCAAGAGGTCTTCCGAGACGGAAGAAGAAGTCATTGGACGGAGCAGTCGTTGGGGACTTCGACGGCTTCTGGCGGCGGTTTCGGTGGGTTCGTGTCCTGCTCGGGTCGTGTGAGCGTTGGTTTTTTCCCCAAGTCACCTTTCGGGCCAGACCGGCGGCCCCCCCCCCCAAAACAACTCAGACCAGCTCCGTTCTTGTAACAGCCTTCGCTCACCTGGAGGTGAGCTCCTCACAACGTTGCCCCAAGACCTCGTCGCCCGCGTGGCGGGTTGGGGCTGGGGGCGGCGCCTGAGGTGCGTTCGATGGTCCGGGGACCTGGTCCTGACCGGGCATGAGCGCAGCGGTTGCCCCTGGGAGGTCCAGCTTTCCTACGGACGTAGGTGGACGACCCATAAGGCGAAGCATGGGTACCCATCCCCCGGCTGGAGAGCTACTGTACTATGGACGGAGCAGTGCCTCTTTTGGTGCGCTTCCCACGCTTCCCATTGGATCTCTGGCCTTCCACAGGAAGGGTGATGGATTTGGCATGAAAACTCCCAGAGTCAGGAGAACATGGAAAGAAGAATCATGGACCACAGTAGCTTTGCAGAAGCCTGACCCAAAGGTACCAGGTAGAGGATGATCCCGATGCGCTCCCGTTCCACACCCAGTGCACACCCTTGACAAAGAGCTCCCGTTCCACCACATGAGGACGTTCGCCAAGTAAGACGATCAAAACCGGGGTCGATGCACCACATTTGTTCCGGTCGTTCGTCACATCGGGAACTTCGCCCCTTTCGCAGCGTTCCGGTGTTTTTTGACAGATCTGACACCTGAAAGAACCTGAAAGCAGCTGAAAGGAGCTGAAGGGATCTGAAGGGGATCTGAAGATACGCCCTGTTGGGTCGCTGTTCCCTCCGAAAAGCCCAATTGATGCACTCCGAAACCCAACTAGCTTCCATGGTGGCCGGTCTGGGTCACTTCAAACATGAACCCCCAGCTTCTCTTCTCTGCCGATCTGTGTCGCACCTGTCGGTCTTATCCCGACCACCGATCCGTCACTGCGACTGAAGTCGCCCAGGCTCCGATCCCATGGGAGGAGACGGACCCCTTCAGCATCTCCATGTACGCACAGGACGAGTTGGACTTGTTGGACCGCCTTTGGTCGAACCAAAACACCTGCGGACGAGGGAGGACTTTGGTCGGAGCGTTTTGAGCGTTTTTCACTCACGAGGGGTCTCTGTTTTGGACGACGTGCCCAAATCCTTCGTGATGACGTGGGGGCTTTCCGGAGGATGGTCGACCTGGGGGCTTTCAAGACGACTCGAAGCATCTAGTCAATTGGCTGGGGGCGTGTGTGGTGCCAGGGAGGAGGGAGAAGGCCATTTGGAGCTTTCGGACCCTGGGGAGCTTGTGGACCGAAGGAACGTCGACTCGAAACAGATGACGTGGCGCCGTTGGGTTGGTATACTTGATCCATCTCTGTTGGAGTTGCCCAGCAAAGTCGTTGTCCAATCAATCTGTGCAGATCAAGTGGAATTTGCCTTCTTTGCAGGGTTGGTAAACGATGTTTTGGTGCTCCAGGGCACCAAAACCGGAAGATGTTTGCTCAGTTTGCTCTTGCTTTAACTTTAGATGGCCAGCGGCGTCCTTCAGAGTGAAATTCATACCATCCCGGATTATCTCTAAGAACCGAGGACCCACATGCGTGTCCACGGTGCTTTGGCTCCAGAACTGGACTCGGGAACCCGTCGAACGCGTGTCCATCGGGGCATCCTGAACGCAATGCAAAGCAAGGAACACCGCGACACGGACAAGTATTGGTGGGTCAGAACCCCGGCACAGATCAATAAACTAGGAGCTTCAAAGGGGTCCTTGTAGGAATATTCCAGCTGGGAGACCCCGAATGGAAGGTGCTGAGGGATTGTGCTTCCTGCGGTTTCAAATTCCAGGTTTTGACCACCCAGCTTCAAATTCATTCTGAGACAAGAATGACTGTTCTTTGTGTCTCAGATCATTGAATGTGGATCTGAACTGTTTCCTGGCCACCCGAGCTTCTGCCATCCTTTGGTCTGACCATTGCCGTCCGACCGCAGCCTTGGGGCAAGCAGCTTAGATTGGAAACAGACAAACATGATCCAGGAGCCTTCCTGATGCCAAGCAGGCTATCCAAGTGGCTGGGAGTCCCCAGCGTCGATCTGGATGTACAACATGTACACATATATAACTTATATAACAACATGTTGTGGGTTCCATTCCCCTGAATTCCTGGATCTCTCCTGTCTGCGATGTAGTAGATCAAGGGCAGAAGGTCCTTTTGTCAAACACTCTCAATGGACTTTAGTGGAAGATGCTACCCTATAGAACTACGTACGACCTGTTTCTACTAATGAGGTCACCCCCCGTGTTTTCTTGATGGCAGGTTCTGCCGGAGAAGTTCAATGGACTGTCAATTGAGTTCACTGACCAGGTTCTTTTGCCCTGGCCCACTCATGCCAGGCACCTGGCAAGCTCCAAACTCTCCAAAACTGACAGCTGAGTCAATAGCCTCGGAGTCGAACTTCTTAACTCTCCAGTCGTGTCTCTCTTGAGGGAGAAGCCAGTCTCCATTGTCGAACGATCACATGGGCAATGAGGCCATTCCTGGCTTGTGGCAGCTATAGGGAATCAATGAAGCATCATGGGTTGCTTGTAGGACAATCCATACTTTTGAATCTGTCTCTTCATGAAGCCGGAGGTCTTTTTCATCACTTCTCCAACCGCATTCCAAAACTTGGACCTGGTCCCGCCGTGGAAAGCTGCTCGTGCCTGCGCGTTTCTCCGCCATGCCGGAGTTTCTGGAAGCTTGGAAGTCGGATGACCCGGAGATGCGACGAATTCCCAGCAAAACCTCCACCCGAAGTATGATGAGCAAGTCGGTGAGCAAGTTGAGCCACTTCGCTGCAAGGACCGGTGAGGCCGATGTGACAGGATGTGACGGGCAAAACTGCCGCAAGGACCGGTGCCGTTTATTGTGTTTCCTTCTTCTTTTTCTTGTTTTTGTTCTTGTTCTTACGGCTGCCGTGTTGCTGCTACTGTCTTGTAGCATTGTCCTATTTATGTAGCGTGATAATAATGTAGATGGAGATCTGCTGCTGAAATAAGACTCCACCCCAGCCATCACCAACAGAAAACAAGACAAGGAAAACGGACCCCAGTAGAAGGTTCTCAACTTCTGACCGAACTTTAGTTGTTTGATATTTGTTGAAATTGTTTGCTTCCTATTGGTGAACCACGGTGGTTTGGGTTGAGGGGAAAGACCCTCCTCCCAGAGATGACCTAAGACGATCACCAAAGATGATCTGGTTGGCTTCGTTCATTTCGAACAAAATCATCAACAACGGAAGGACAAAACACCTACAACCACCTGAAACGCCCAAAACACTGGAACCCCTTCAATAACTGATGACCTGAACCAGCTTTTCACGCCCAGCTGACGCCTGTTTCACGAATTTTACATCTCTCGCCTGGTGTAGGATTTCTTCCGGCCAACTGTGACATGGGTCGGATTTCCTGAACCCTAGCCATCTACACCAGCACAACTTGGAAGGCTTGGTGGGCTTGGTGTAGGATGAAGATATGTCAAGGAACATGGAAGGTCACCCCTCTTCGTGTACAAAAAAAGTTCAAACACCCTTTTTTCCACACTTTCCATGTTTAGGTCACACCTTGTCACACGTCACGAGTTCTTTTTTGGAGCGAGTCAGCGAGTACCAACGCTTTTCCCCCAAGTCTGCAAGACGTCTGCCAGACTCTGCCTGGAGCTTGCAGCTTGAACTCTTGATCTTTGTTGGTGAAATGAAGGCAAAGCCATGGCGCAACAGTGTTGACTCATGTTGACTCCTTGACCGATAGGCTAACTCGGTTGGTATTCCTTGAAGCTCTGCAAGACTCGTTCCTCCATCAAAAAAAAATACCTACAAAAGGATGGTTCGAAAGAATGAGGTTGAGAGATTCTCAGAAGGTTCGAATTTCACTCACGTTGTGTGTATGGATGACTTTTACTTTTAACCCACCCTAGTTGTTGGCTTCCTTTTCGGGCAGGCACCACCTCGCCGTCACCGCCGGACGGACGTCAGACGAGACCTCTCCGAGGTGAGGTGGTGGAGCAACGCCAAGTCCAGGTCCTTTCGAGCCAAGAGGAGCGAGGCGAGGTTAAGCGAGGCGAGGCGAGGTGAAGCGAGGACGCACGGGTCCGGGTCGGGGAGACCGCGACATGGGCGTTGGAAGGTTCGGGTACGGAGAAACGCATGGGAGGTTTTTCGGAAGGTGGAAGGTGACGGTGTTGGACAAGAGAGAATGGTACGCCCCCAACATGTGGCCTTGGGGTTGACTAGGAGTCTAGGGAGCGAAGAAGGAGAGTATCACTGAGGACACTTGGGTACTAGTCACAGTCATGTCGTAGCCTTGTATGAGTGACCCCTAAAACATCCTCAAAAGGGGGATGCAGTCAGTTTTTTATTTGTTTCATGCCTGAGTAAGGCCTTGGAAGGGAAGCACAAAGATGCAAAAGCTGTCCACCTGCTGAAACGCTGGCTTGGGACACAAAGTGTAATTAGTAAAATAGTAGTTTATGTTGTATTAATATTCTTAGGCGGTGTAGAAATGTCATTTGAGTGTTTCATGTTTCAATCGACAGATTTCCGACGCAAAAAGGGCTTTAACTGTTTGGATTTTTCTCACACGTCTCGCTCCACTGCTTCTCGCAAAAGTCACGCGAGGAGTGGTGGACGTATGAGTTCGCCCATGTGGTGGCCAAGATCGTTTGGATGCTCTTCTTTTTGGCCACGAGTCTGCTGGTGTTTTTGTTAGTTACTTGGCCATATGTTGGTGACGATTCGATGGATGATTCGGGCGGCTTAGGGATGAAGTTCATGACGCAGGTTTGCAGAGGCAAAACGCGCACATTTGGCACTCCATGTGGAACAGTCAGGGTCAATCCTTGGGAATTCTTAAATTGAATGGGATTGAGTTGTGTGTGACTATTCGAGACCATGGATAGTTTGGGATCCCTCTTTTTTTTCTCTTCTCAAATGCCCTGTGCACCCCCCCGATGAGGTTGCGGACATTCATCCTGAGGCGCGGCATTGTTCGTTCAGTCTTTCGTGGAACAGACGGGCTTCGAAGGAGGTTGGCGTATCGATGATCTCACTGTGCTCAATATGTTTGATGTTTTCTTGTTATTTTCCAAGATAGGCTCGTAGACGCAGAGCCTTTGACGAGGCACTCAGCGTACCAGAAAGAAAGAAAGAAAGAAAGGAAGAAAGAAAGAAAGAAAGACAGAAGGAAGGAAAGAAAGAAATAAATAAATAAATAAAGAAAGAAATAAATAAAGAAAGAAAGACAGAAGGAAAGAAAGAAAGAAAGACAGACAGACAGAAAGAAAGAAATAACGTAGACTCGTACACTCTTGATTAATATCCCCCTATTTGGATTGTAAAACCTCTTAATCCTTATTCATCTAGAGTCAACATCACATGACACGAGGTCTTGAGGCCTGCACTGGGGGAGAGGTGCCTGCCAGACAATCTGAGTGCTCAGTGGCCCTCTGACGTTTCTATTGAAGATGGCGATAGAGCTTACCCTCATCTTCAGAGAGGACCCAGAACTCATGCCGCTCTGTCTCATCATAGGACCCAGAACTTCTGAGGTGAGCTTTCTCAGATCTATGTTTGTTTCAAGTTCTTTTGGTGACCATCCGTCTATAGGCCTTTGTATACCTGGAAACCCAAGCAACCAGAAATTAAAGACGTGGATGTTTTCCCATACAGCCATTGCCTATATAAAGCATCTCAATTGCCATATTGGAACAGATTGGAACGACCACTTGTTTCTGGTTGTTTAGGGTTTCAGGTACATCTCAACACCGAGCGTTTTCTTCTTCGCTCACAGAGTTCGGGACCTGCAGCTTCGCACTCGGCAGCGAAGCGAGAAAAACGTCAACGGATCAGGACCCCGCGTGCGGACCGCGTTTCTCTTCAGCACAGCGTGTCCCGCGGAATGTATTCAGATGTGGCAACTGGCGGTTTTTGTTGGAGACCGAAGCACCTATTCAAATATTCAGGTGCTGCTGCTCGTCCGGACGTACAGGTGCTTGAAGAGTGCAGAAACAATCTCGTCAACTCCCCAGTGTTCACCTATGCCGCTGACCAGCTCACTATAGCTGGCTGACTGCCATGGTGCAGTGGAGGAACACGTCGTGCAAGCAGCGCAGCGCGGTATGCACATCCACACCAGGTTTCTCATCCAAAACACCCAGCGACATGTGCACCTCCAAGGCACCCAGCAATGTGCGTCCGGCCACTGGCCATCTCTGGCCGAGTTGCCGAAATGGTACAGAATCGGTCTCCGAGGTGTCGGAACGTCTGCCAGCCAGGACACCCCGAAAGAAGGTCCAGGTATGTTTCATTTCACTCTCATTGCTTCAGGCGAAATGGAGTTTTGGATCGGGAGAAGATAACCCCCCCAAAAAAGTCCACCTAAGGATAGATCTACCGTTGCCAGCTGTCGGTCTTGTTGAATGTTGCCAGCTGCCAGTGCTATGTCTACGTGCCCGGTGGCTAAGCTCTCCTCGCACACCGGAGGCCTTTGTCATCACATTCTTTGTGATGTTCATCGCGCAGTTGGCCTACTTCGCCAAGGCGACGTCGGAGACACATCGGACGTCTCCCAGGTTGGAGGCGAACAAAGCACTTGGTCTCAGGTCTCATAGAAGTCACTTAGTAGTTTTTGGCATGCCCTTCCCATAGGGAGACCAGGTGTATTCCAAAAACTGCCCTTCCCATTAGTAGATTTGGTGTATTCCAGGTGGTACACATTTTGCCCTTCCCATAGGGAGACCTGAAAAAGCCGATCATCGACACAGAGGTCCGTGTTGTCAGCACTCGGCAAGCATGGGACATCTACAGCGGAACACATGGGGTGTCACACATTTGGCCGCTCAGACAAGTGCTGTGTTAACCGTGGCTGTTGATCACATCCATGCTGTATGTCTTGACTACAGCCTACAGGCCCCCGTGTGTCAAATGGCTTTCCCGTTGATCCTTGAATGGATCCACACGGTCTTGAGCAAGAGGTGCAGTAACACGAAATGAATTGTTCTACACTCCTTGAACCAATCATGGACGTAGAAAACCACCTCTTTGTAAAGGAAAATGGTCATCCAAAGGGCCATTTTCCACTTCCATGATGATCTCACAGAGTGACTGTTGTGTTGGATCAACCCTGTCAGGGACCTTTGGCACAAGAATCACCATGCAAGAAGCGCTTGGAACATCACACGGGAAAAAAATGCCACGACTTCCCAAAGGTAGGCCAACGGCAGACCCAATTGAGTCCGACCCAAAATTCGACCCAGATGGAACTTCATATGCATGGACGGTGTAGACTCTACACCTCTCGACCTATTCTTTTGATCTATGAGCAACCACGTGAAAAAAGGGGACTTGCTAGATAGTAGTCTACCCGCATGCAAAAACAACATTGTTTGTCCAACATCAGTATTTGATTGTGAACCAGATACCCACCCCCTCAATAACAAGATGCCATGAGATTTGCTATATATGTCTATGTGTGTTCCATGCATGGAGCGTCTTCGGGTTTTCGGTTGTAACTTCTACAAGGATCTACCACCGCTCCGAATGAGAAATCCTTCACAGAAAGAGGGGATGTCCTACGTTCGAGGCGATGTTCTACGATCGATTTTGCACAACTGAGGGTCTGACGACTGGAAAGATCACTGAGGGTCTCGTGACTGGTTCCAGGGGCAGCACCCACGACGCGATCGGATTCCAAGACCGTCAAAGAATAGCCGAAACGCACGTGGCTTTGGCCATTCTTCTAGCACTTGGATACGTGTTTTTTTCTGGTTTTCTTCGAAGAATCGCCTCTGCGGAGTTGCTCACCGGCGACAGATGCAGAGTTGCTCCGCTGTTTCCTTTGGAGGTCACCGGCTACAGCGATGTGGTCTTGGGTGGCCGCACCGTACCCATCGTGCGGTACATCGATTGGATCACCACCACGCCTCTGTGGCTCGCTCCAAAGAGCGAACGAAAGAGAAGGTGTTGGGGGATATTGAGACACAGTCAAAGCAAGGAACAGCACGAAGACTGATCAAAGATCCAACCGATCAAAGATCTCAGTTCAATGGTCATACAACAAAAACATACAAAAAAAACTCAAGTAGGCAAAAGACCAGGTTTTGCTTGGTCGTTGGACTTCTACGGATAGGTTAAAAGCGGGACAAGAAGCTACTAGTAACAAGGGCATTACTACTAGTAGCAAGAAGCTACTACAGATGGAAGTTGAACAAAGGTCCCTGCCGTGGTTTATCGCAAGGCGTCGGGTTTCCCCGCCTCGGACTGGCTTGCCACCCGCCTGGGCACCCCACAGTCTCCCCCCGTTCAGAAGCTGAAACCGGGAAGCGGAACCACCATGCAAACCAGAAACCTTGACAGTCGGGGAACATCTTCAGGGAAAAACGGGACAACTGGAGTAACTGGAGCATCATTTTTCCTTGCGCTCATATATTATATTTGGTTTTGGGATTCCAGGGTTTGGATGAATCTTTAGGGGATGTAGATCGGGTAGACCGGTAGACCTGCAAGAAAATCCAGCGACTGTGCTGTGAAGGTTTGGAATGGAATGACTCCTAGGTGGGAACTGGGGCTTATATCCAATCGTCAACCAAGTCCCGCAATCTCCCAGAACGCGCCTTCTCATCAAGATTCTCATCACAGCATTGATCCATCCGAGGATGCTCTTTGAACTTTGCATGATTGGGGGAGCAGAGACTTGGCAGATTGGAGTGGATTTCCAGGCCTTCAAGGCTGGCTTCCGTCCCAGCCCTTGAGGGTTGGCTTCTCCGTCTCCAAAAATGGCAGGGCTTCGAGGTCTCAAGACATGAGGATCGGATCTGAAAGCCGAGGAAGGAAGGCTTCCAACCCACCTGTTACGTTCGTAGCTTCTTTGTTACTACTAGTAAGGCACTTGTCACTACTAGCGTGGCACCTGTTACTACGAGCTTCTTGCGACGTTCGTTGGCCGTTCTTGCAGCTGTTTTGTGGTCCTTTTCTTCGGCCTCGTTCCGGCCTGGTTTCAACACCAGGCCGTTCGGTACGCACGTTCCGAGCTACGAGGGAAAGCCGCACTGCCAAGGACTTGGTTTCTTTTTCCAGTTGGTTGGTGGTGCGGCTTGCGGGTTCCAGTCGCAGAGTTCTTTTTCAACACGGGGTTTCTTTTCCAATGTGCCCGGGGGGCTTCTTTTCCACCCTGCAGTGCAGGGGCTTCCTTTACTCCCCGGCGAGGGTTTTCTGTTTCAACCTGGAGCTTCTTTTCCACCCAGAATCCACACGGTCTCGACCGCTTCGGATGTCTTTCCTCGGAGATCGAAAGATGTCTTTCTCCTTGTTCTCGTCAGCATAGGTAGTCCAAGCCCTGAAGGAGCAGAAATTTTCTCTGCTGTTCACTTGCCGATGTTGCCATGGCCATGGCAACAGGAAGGTGGCCACGGCCAGATGAAACCTATGCCAGGTATGGTTCCCGACCCACACAGTTCACTCAAGAACCAGCGGTTTCAGAGGAAGTTCATCTTCCAAACTGGATACACGTGTGGAGCCATAGGTTCTTGGCCAACAAACATTCGGGAACACGCCTGGCACGATGACCTTTTCGCTATTTCTCGGGTAGTTAATGGGTCACTCAGGAGAAGCACACCACGATCTTGGTCATCGGGTGTGACCTCATCATGCATGCCACAGGGATTGTAAGCGCCATGGTGGTGCCAAAAGAGAAGGTCAAGGCACGGTGCCAAACGGCCGTCACCCAGAGTGAGGAAAAACCCTGAGGAAAGGTGGCGGGTGGCTCAAGTACTCCCCCCATGTTTGGGGATTCTCTTCCAGAAATTGATTCGAAAGCAAAAACAAACCAAAGGACATGGAAAGGATTTCCCTGTTGAAGTGCTCTTGAACGAGAGTTTCTTGTCATATTCCTTTTGATGTTATTTGTAATTTGCATGTGGCATTGAGCTTTGTGGCACTCAGCCAGCAAAGAAAACATGTTAAAACTAAGAAAGGGAAGGAACAACTAACCCAAAAACCGCTCTTTTTTAAGTTGTTGCAAGCAACCTCCAAAACAGTGCCACAGCTGGACTCATTATTCCACGACAACTGACGTATTCTGCCCACTTAAGACTACTCAAGACCCAGCATGAGAGGGTTTTCTGTTGACTCCTTTCATTGATAAGGGCCAGGGTTATATAGACAACCATAGACAACCCACTTCGTAGGGGTTTGCTAAGCACCATCGGTCGTAACGAGCGATTGATTCACACCACTTGCTGTTCACACCCACCCATTTCGCCACAACAGCACCATGCTTCGCTGCTTCGCTCAGCTCTGGAAGCTCTGGTTCGCTCACCAACCAAGCTGCTCAGCCAACCAAGCGTCTTCCTTCTGGGCACCACCTTGCAGGTGAAGTACGCTTGGTTCACCATGTCGGTCTTTTGCTTCACCTTGATGCTCTTAGTGCTGCACCGCGACGTCTCCTGGGGCACCGTGAATCTGCGGCCCTCCGACGTGCAGGCGGCTTGGACCAACGCTTAGTCTGATATCTCAGGTCCAACCTCCTAGCTGGCAGGTAGTCTGGATGGCTTAGTCCATCTGTGAATCTTGAGCTTGGAGTGAAGTGGTGGTTTTCTGATGTTTTCTGTTGATGAATAACACGATGGTGATGAGGATGAGGAGGAGTAAGAGGATGAGGATGAGGACGCGGATGATGAGAATCAAACGAGCACATGAACTTTAAGCAATCATGAACAGGGCTCAAAAGGGTTCAACGCTTAGGGTTTGGAGAGATAGCTGTCTAAGTGATTCTTGACCACCGTGCGTGGATAGATGAGCGGCTGGTGGTCTGAACATGCTTCAGTGGTGCTCAGCATTGTGCGTCTCTTAGCTGTAGCATTTCCACATTGCTGTTCAGTATTCGACGACCTTCTATCAGTTCTGACTGGGAAGTGCTCAAAAGAGGAGTAATTGTACTTGTATATACTATAGTATAATATTGTTTATAATATAGTATAAAAATAGGGCTCGAACACCTTCATTAGCGAAGGATCGCGGTTGCCCCAGCGTCGTTGATCGGTTTTCGCCATTGCTGGTTTTCGACGCGATCGTTCTGCTGCTCCGCATCGTCACGATCGTGCACATCGATCTCGGATTCGGCGGAGTTTGAGAACTTCGGCAACCTGGTTGACACCAGCTGCTTGGTTGCGCCGTTTTTCGCGAATAGCTGGCCATCACTCGCGAGTGACCCTTGGATTGTGCAGGGTTTTTCATTTTTTGGATTTGCACGGGTCTAGTGCGATGCCGGCATCATGGATTTGTTCATGTGGATCTTCGAATCATATGCAACATGCTTTTTGTGGTTCGTGTGGTTCGCGATGGGATCGAAAAGGTTCGAAATCTCGCCCAAAAAAGGGAGAAGCCGAAGTAGGATCGAAGCAAGGCAAGACACACAGTCAGCATGCCGAATATGTTTTGCCCACGTTCGATTTTCCTGCATTGTCGCTGTCTTCCTCCTCTGGGTCTCATGCCTTTTTCGAGCCTATGCCACAGCAAGCACCTCAGAATGCTTCGAAGTCCGTCAAAGCCGTGCTGCACCAACGTGCCAATCGTATAGGGAAAGTCGAGGCCAGAATCCAGAAGCTCGAATCTGGTCTTCAGGAAGTGTGCACCAACTGGCCACGATATGTTCATGCCCATCATCAGCAGTTGATTCAAGAGCATGCCAAATGTGTCCAGTTTTGCCACGAAGCGACCAAAGAACTGAAGACCTTGAAGAACGAGTTGGCTACCTTGACCAGTACTGCACCTTTGCAAGCTTTGCCCAGCCAAGTCGATGCGAAGCAGCCACCAGTAATGCCTGCAGGGATGGATCCTGTGTTTGTTCAGCAGGTACAGTCTGCTATGACACTAATCCACCAGCAGCAGCAGCAACAGCAGCAGTCTGCCACCATGCCTTCGCTCCCGAGGAGCCGTGCTCCCACGTACCAGGCACCTATGGAGGTCGACGACTCTGCGCATCTAGCAGCCGGCAACCCAACCATGAACATGTTCCCAATGCCAGCCGCTTGGGCAGATTTGAGAACGGTTATGCCGAATGTGCCAAGCGTCAGCACTCTGCCGCTTGCCTACGAGAATGTTGCGGGCACTGGAATTCCCATGGAGCTGCCATCAGGCCAGAAACTGAGTCAGGATGCATCGACCACTGCTATGCCGGTTTTGCCTGCTCCGATTTCCGGGGCATCTGCCGAAGTAGGGGCAGCCATGGTACATCCTGTGACTACAGCTCAGAACGACCTCAAGCAGCCACCAGGAGTCTGGGATTGGCCACCTCCAGTTCCCGATCTCCCAGCCCACATGATGCAGATTATCGACCCTTCCAGCAGTGCACCAGTCACAATGCCGAAATTGTCGCCTGGTCAGCATGCTCAGATGACGATGCCAGAAGTGCTGACCCCGCTGCGTACCAGCCCCACAGGTCAAGCACCATTGCCTGTGAGCATGAGTCCACCCTCTGCCGAACTCCTGAAGATCGTTCTCAATGCAGAAGAAGGGCTCAAAGAGTTACAAGAACAGACCACGGGGGAACCGGCTGCCGAATTGACACCAGAGATGCAACAGCAGCTGGAACAGTTTGCGCAACAACAAGCTTTTTGTCATGCGCAAATCCAAGCTTTTCAAACAGCTGCAAAGCAACGCAAACAGCAGCAGCGAAGTTCACAGCCTACAACACCTGTCGCGCAGCCGACAGTGCTAGCTCCCCCTGTGCCAGCAGGATCCCAGTTACCATCCGACCATTGGTCGGTCACCAGCTCCCCTGCCAAGCCTCAGCCAAGCACTGGCAAGCAGCCGGAGCACTACCAGATGAACAATAGTGCGTGAGGGCAGAGGCGAACCAAGATTTCCAAGACCTTGGAAGGGCCAGTGCATTCCCAGCCATCTGGTGTAGATGGTTTGCCTACGCCACCAGATTCCGAGATTCCTTCACCTGTTCCCACCGAGGTTGCTACGGAAGATGGGGATCCCGAGAGAATGGAGGCCGAGAGCCGGTTGCAGTTGCAGCAGCTGGAATAGATACCTGCCGGTCAGAGCCTGGACCCGCTCTGGCCAATGCAGATTCGCCCACGGTCCCTGTTCAATTGTCTCTTGACCGACTCCTGCCGATGACCATAGAGGATCAGCAGTCACATCGCATGGGTGGTCTTTTCCAACGGTTTTTCGATCCATGGCCGGAACAGACTTTTTACAGGTCCCTGGATTTCTTGCAATTTTTGCCCGATTGTCCTGCCGAAATGAGTACGCTTTTGTCAGGTGTGCCGGTCTGGCAGGGTGAACTAGTCACTCAAGTCATCGTCTATGTAGATGGATCCAGCTATAATCGACAGGCTACAGATGTCGGTCTAGCAGCATGGGCTTTCATTGTCATTCTCCAGATTTGTTGCGGCGACAATGATTTTGCTTACCGATTTCTTTGTGCCACGTCCAGTCAGCTTTCATCTGCGCTGGAACCAATCCATCAAAATCTTTCCATGGGAGAATTGCTGCACGATGCTTTGACCGCTGAAGCTGTTGGCATGGTTTGGGCCATGCTATGGGCTATTCAATGCCGCATTGATGCACCGTTTCTTTTCCACTACGACAACCAAACTGTTGGACGATATGCAGCTGGCTTTGGCCAATGGGAACACTGCTGGGAATATGCTGCCTTGCAAGAGCGGTTGCGCTCTGTTCGACATTTTCTCACGGCCATTGGAAAGCGTTTTTGTCATGAACATCTCAAAGCACATGTAGGTGAGCCATGGAGTGAAGCAGTTGATTGCCTTGCTAAGGCGACCGCTAAGAGCATTTTGCCTTCCATGCCACTCCCTTCGCATTTGTCACAGGTGTTCCGACATTCTGCCCATTCGTTTGCCTGGTTAACCCAAGCTCCGAGTGCATCCCACCCATATTGGAAGTGCTTGAGAGCTGTTTTTGAAGCTGAGGGGCCTTTTTGGGGGCACCGTCCAGAATCGCATTGGCCGCAAACAGTCACGCCCAGCTGTGCAAAGTCTTTAGGTGCCAATCGAAGCCATTCGTTACCGGTCCATCTCAACCTTGTCTTTGCCAGTGCCAATGTGCTCACGCTTGAGCCAGGAAGTAAGTCTCGTCAAGCTCATGGATTATATTTAAAGGGAAGAATCGCATCACTGCAGGCGCAATTTGATCATGCCAACTGTTTAATTGTCGGCCTGCAAGAATGCCGTACACAGCAGGCAGCTACACGACATAGTGCTAGTCACTTTGTATTCCAGTCCGGTGCAGACTCAGATGGCAGTCATGGTTGCGAATTGTGGGTTAGTCGCAACGTTCCCTATGCAACCTCTGGAACTCAAAAATTCTGTTTTGCTGCCTCGCATGTCCATGTTGTTTCGATGAGTTCTCGGCATATCCTTGTGCTCATACAGGCTCCCAGCCTGCATATTCGTGTCCTCACGGTCCATGCTCCATATCAATCTAGTGGGATAGATTGTGCATCATGGTGGCAAGACCTTGCCTACATGCTTGAGAGATCGCCGCAAAGCATACCTCTGATTATTCTAGGAGATCTCAATGCCCATGTTGGGTCCGAGATCAGTGCTGCGATTTCGTCCCATCAAGCCGAAAAGGAATCGGCCACTGGCCGCGTTGTTCATCAATTCATGTGTGAACATAGGATGTGGTTGCCCTCCACATTTGCTACATGTCATTCTGGTCCGGCCACCACGTTCGTTAGCACCTCAGGCCATGAATCACGCATTGATTACGTGTGCTTGCCACAGGCTTGGCGATCGTTTCAGGTGCATTCCTGGGTGTCTGACCAAATTGACCTTGCCATTTGTAAACATGATCATTTCGCGCCGATGGTTCGAGTTTGTATGCAACCGCGTAGGTCCTCTTGTGCCGCCAAACCTCGTTTGCAGCTAGATGTTCGTAAGATTGCAGACGCCGGCAAACAAGCCACTTTTCTGCAGCAAATTCGTTGTATGCCTTCCTTTTCTTGGGGATTGGGAGTAGGTGTGCACCTCGAGCAATTGACTACTTACATCCAAACTGCTGCCAGGGTTTTTAAGCAGGACCGCAAACTGCCTCGGCAACGATATCTAAGTGACACCACTTGGCAGGTTATCCAGACTCGTCAATGTCTGTTTCGTATGCACCGCCGATTGCAGACCCACATTGTTCGCATGTATCAACGATGTTTTTTGCACATGTGGCATGCCATGTGTTCACGTCCACCTGCGAGGTTGAGTCCAGCATCCCGTGACGGATGCCGGACTGCCACCTCTGTGAGTGTTCAGTCCATTTTTGACCATGCCGTACGCCACATTTCTTTGCTTCGACGACATGCATTGTGGGCTCTGCTTGGTCGTAGGAGGCTGCATGAACCTGCCCGGTTTCTTAGCAAGATGGACCGTGTTGCCGAAGCCGAAGTCATTAGTACCCGGTTTTTGCACGCAGCTCAAACTCAACAAGCCAAGGAGGTGCATCGCGCCCTTCGACCT